TAGAAATGGAAGATGTTTGGAATAAACTGGGCGTGGGGAGTTTCTCTACTATCCTTGCAACTTTTAGCTGAATCTAAAGTTATTTTAAAATAAAGTTTATTTTTAGAATAATAGGAATTCCAGGCCATTCGCCACGAGGATTCGGTGTAGTGATGCGGGGAGGCACTTGTGGGCTGTGCCAGCCATTAGTGGTGATGAGCGTTCCGCCTCTGTTTGAGCATGGGTCGGCTCAATGTCCCCAAGGTCTTGCTTTTGCAGCACTGGCCTCCACCCGCTCCCTGTTTAAGACCTGCTGGAACCTGGCTGCAAAACAGTGGGTGGACCTTTTACAACCATCTTGAGTTGTAACCTCTCTTTGTTCTCTCTCCTGGACCAGAGAAAGCCCACCCCAGCCACCCTGCCATAGAAACGGGTTCTGGACAGCAGCTGAGTGTAGTGGCTAAGGAATGGGGCCTGAGAGTCACAGACATCTGAGTTCAGCTTCTGAACTGGGTGGCTTTGGGCGAGTGACTTACCCTTTCTGAACCTTGGATGTCTTGCCTATGAGATGGGAATCATTCCGCTCCCGATAAGGTTGTTGTGAGGCTGTATGCCAAGCCCTCGGCACAGTGCATGGCACACAGTAGGTGCTTGGGGAGTAGCAGTGCCTCCCTCCAATCCCAGTACCCACTACCATCCTCTCCCTGTGCTGCTCTTTCTCCCCTTGGCCCGACAGAGTCCTGACCTTTGCTAGTTTTTCTGGTACACACCCAGTGGTTATCTCAGGTCAATATGTGATGCTGTACTCTACTGTAGGGGTCCTGGCAGAGGTGACTTTGAACTTGGCTCAGAGGTGAGAAGCAGGGAAGCTGGACACACTGCTCTGTTCTGCCCTGTGAGGGTGTGACTTGCAGCCATCCTGCCTTGTGGCCAACCACGGGAAGTGATCTGTGATCCCCCCTGAGCTGGCTCCCTGGCCTCACCTCTGGCATTTGGGAGGCAGCCATGGAGGGCCGAGGCAGGCAGAGCCAGGCCGTGGGGACACAGCAAGGCTGGAGCCGGTCAGCAAGCTGCCTGTGCATGTTCCAGAGAGGCTGGGGTCCTGGCTGTGGTGCCATGTGTCACATGGCCTCTGCAGTTCCACCGGACATGGAAGCCCTGTCCAGCCGCCTCCTTGGCCTGTGCAAAGCCTCAGGCAGCTCAAGCCAAATCAAGATGCTGAGGTCACTACTCAAGGGCTAGGGATGGCAGGAGTGCATGGAGATGAGCGTACCAGGGCTCCAGATAATTGGAACAGGGGACTTGGAATGGAAGGACTAACCCCCCCTTGTTTTAGTGGAGGAGAAAGGGAATAAAATAGGCTGGGTGCAGTGGCTCACTCCTGTAATCCCAGCACTTTGAGAGGCTGAGGCAGGCGGGTCACTTGAGGCCAGGAGTTTGAGACCAGCCTGGCCAACATGGTGAAATCCCAACTCTACTAAAAATACAAAAATTAGCCAGGCGTGGTGGCACGTGCCTGGAATCCCAGCTACTCGGGAGGTTGAGGCTGGAGAATTGCTTGAACCCCAGAGGTGGAGATTGCAGTGAGCCGAGATTGCACCACTGTACTCCAGCCTGGCAACCAGAGCCAGATTCTGTCTCAAAAAAAAAAAAAAAAAAAAAAAAAAGTTTATTTTTCTCCTCCTTATTTAGTATAAGAAAAGACCCAACTGTTTCTCATTGCCGAGCTTCTTTCCTATCACAGCCTCAAAGCTCTTCACTCCTCGTGCTCTAGCTTCCTTTTTAGGATCATTTTCCATCTTCCCTGCTGTTTAGTGGGGTCTGTGTAACAGTTTTTGTTTATCTGATAATGTCTTCATTTCATCATGGTTCTTAAAAGATGGTTTTGGGAGTTCAGGATTCTAGGTTGATGGTTTCTTTATCTTGGTGCTTAGATGGTGCTAATTCAGTGTTTTCCATTTGCTGAGTGTCATTGGAGGCTTTGATAAGTGGGTTTGGCCTGTTGAGTGAGGCACAGAGATGAGTAATATGGCAGGCTTCTGGCAGCAATTCACATGGTCTGCCCTATAGGAGAGACACGTGGAAGAAGACAGAGGCCCTGGGCACTTCCAGATGCCAAGAGGCTCGCAGATGCCCCCACTGAATGTCCCAGTGACTCCTTTCTTCTCCTGCCCCCAGGATAACCAATGGATTTCCATGTGTATGTGTGGGGCACAGATGTGGTGTGTGGAGCGCACATTGCCTGTGATCCTGGCCTCAGTCTGCTTCTAATGCACTCAGGGCAGTCTGCGACACTGACCCACCCCAGTACAGAAGGAAGGCCATGGTCCAGTGTTGGAGGGGCTGGGAAGTAAGGGTTACTTAAGGGTCACCCTGTTGCAGAACCATGATTATCTCAGTGATCAGCAAAGACCCCTTAGTTTGGAACTGCAGTAGGGAGCCCATGTGTGTGTGTGACTGATTGGGAGCCCCCCCTCCGAAGTCCCTCCTAGGATAAGTCTAGGGCATGCAGGTTGAGGAGGACATTGTCTCAATGCATTGGAGCACTTTGCTCCCACTGGGGAGGGGAGGAGGTTGGGAAGGAAGCCCTGCTGCTCGTTGGACTATCGTCATTTCTTGTGGTGGCCGTTGGCATTGTTTCTTGTGGTGGGGTGTTGGCGGGGAGCTGCTTTCCCATAGTGGGTGGTGGTCTTTGGTCCTTCTACTCAATTGGATTCAGATATAGGCGCCAGGAAGGCCCGTGGCGGAAGCCTGACACTGGCTGCTCTGAAGTCTGCCCATTCATGAACTGGGGTAGCTGCCAGTTCTGGGCACCGCAGAAGGTGGCTTGGGACTGGGGCTTGGTGATACATGCAACTTCTTTTCAGTGATTCTGCTGCCCACAGTTCTGTACCCACAGCCTGGCTCCCTCTGTGGCTGGCCCAGGAGGGGTGTGCTGGCAAAATGTACGTCTCCTGTTCCCCTCCTGGCTCACGCCTTGCCATGGGACTGTCACGCCTGTGTGGTTGGAAGCACTATTCCTCCCCTCCGTGTGGTGGACAATGGTTGCTTTGTGAGTTGTAAGTTGGTCACTTTGCTTGTGAGTGGCAAATAATTGATGGCTGAAGGGCATGGGGAGATGGAAGTGGTGAGAGCAAGACCATGCATGGAGCTCTGGCCCAGCTCCTAAGAAGCCTTGTGGGCAGGAGGCAGAGGATGGGTTCCACTTCTGCTGGCATCGCATCCCTGACCACACTGCTGGTATCACATCCCTGACGATGCCAGTGGGCCTTTGTGCTTTGTGTGGCTTATTTCCGGTTCCTTGATATTCACACATGGCAGCTCTGTGAGAGCCACTGTTGTCTCCACTCTGCAAAAAAGGAAACAGAAGTTATAAGGGGTTGCCGGTTGTTCCCTAAAGCCTCTCAGCTCACAAGGGGCAGAGCTTGGCTTTGAACCCAGGCCTCCTCATTCTGCATTACTGCACCATTGCTGTGTGCTAACACTGACTTGCTGAGCAAGCCGCTTCATGTTTTGGGCAAGTCACTTCTCTCAGAGTCTCTCAAGGTCTAGCTAGGAGATTCATTACATAAGTGATGGTCCCTCACATGCAGACATTAGAGATTCAGCTTTTCCTTCCCTTCCTCCCTTCCTCCCTCCCTTCCTTCCATCTCACTCTGTCACTCAGTCTGGAATACAGTGGTGCAATCACAGTTCACTACAGCTTCAAACTCCTTGGCTCAAATGACCCTCCTGCCTCTGCCTCCCAAGAAGCCAGAACCACAGGTGTGTGCTACCATGCCTGGCTAATTTTTAATTTTTTTTTTAAATGGAGACAAGGTCTTACTTTGTTGCCCAGGCTCGTCTCATAATCTTGGCCTTAAGTGATCCTCCTACCTTGACCTCCCAAAGTGCTAGGATTACAGGCATGAGCCACCATGCCTATACCCAGCTGAGGTTAGGCTTTTACATGTATTGAATAATGTTCTATGAAACAAACAACAAACAAACAATATATTCAGTATGATTCCAATTTTGTAAAATAAGACACATGCATGTACACATGTGGCAGGGTGCAGGTTAACTGTGGTTATTATGTATCTGGCTTATAGCGGTGTCGGCAATTTCATTTTCTTCTTTTTTTGTAGTTTTCAATTTTTATTTCTAGTGAGGTATTTTATATTCATAAAAAAAGGTTATTTAAGACAAAAAAGCTAGAGTCTCCAATGGGACCACTCAGGAAATGGGTGTCCCTGGGAGAAGGTGAGCTCCCCTGTCCTTGGGGCTGGACAAGCAGAGGCCAAGTGTCTGCCTCAGGGACCCTTTTCAGGAGTGTCCTGGCAGAGGAGTGCAAAGGGCTGGATTCTTTGATGAGCTGTGTAGGGCACTGCTCCACAGTCCCAGGCCTGTGAGAGAAAGAAATTATCTAAAGCAGTGCTCCTCAAACCTGTCCCTGCCTGTCAGTGAGCTGGGAATCTTGCTCAATGGTAGATCCTGACACAGGAGGCCTGGAGTGGGGCCCAAGACTCTGCATTTCTCATAAGCTCCCAGGTGCTGCTGCTGCCCCAGGGCCCTGGAACACATCTCCGGGAGGAGTGCCCACTGCTGCCTTCCCAGAGCCAGGGCACTGTAGGGCAGACATTATGCCAGTGGCAACACAGGGATGTTAGGACGAGTGGCCTGGGGTTCTCTGAGCCAGGTAACATGTCTGGAAGAGGATCTCCAGACGTAGAAAGATGAGTCTTGGTCAGAGTCGCTGGGTTTGAGACCAGGCCCCCTACACCGTGGCTTTGCGAAAAGGGCTTGGGGTTGGGATTCATGGTCCAGGATGCGAATCTCAGTTCTGCAGCTTGTTAGCGGTGTATCCTTGAGCAGGTCATTTTGCCCCCTCAGCCTAGTTTCTTTATCTGTAAAGTAGGGATAAGTATCTTGCCTGATAAGGTCATGGTGGGGATAACACATGTGAGGTACCGACCCCAGTACCTGGCACTCAGGCCTGTGATGAACGTTTCCTTCCCTTAAACTGTATTTTCTTCTTGCAGGTAGATGAGATTTACCACGATGAGTCCCTGGGGGTCCATATAAATATCGCCCTTGTCCGCTTGATCATGGTTGGCTACCGACAGGTAAACCACCTTGTCAGCAGGTAGGATTTGGAAGGAGAAGGGTTGTGGGGTTGGAGTGTTGGACCAGCCATGGTGTGGGCTGGAGGGACAAGCATCCAGAAAAACTTTGTCTCCAGAATCAGAATCTGAGGCTATTAGAATTGTGGCTTCAGTGGTGGAGCCTTTGGAGGGGTAAGCCGGGATTTATGGGTTCCTGCAATCTGAGAACATGATGATTCCACATGCTTATGGCTGGGAGAGCCCTCTCCTTGGGGAAACTGTGGCTTAGAGTGGGATGGCCACTGAGACAATTCATGCCATGGTTGAGCCCTGGTGCCCTGGGCTCTGCAATCTTTGACCATCCATCACTTATTATTAAATGGGGGTAGCAACAAAACTTTCCTGTAAGGACTATTGTGAAGATTAAATAAAACAATGAACACAGAGTGTAGAGGAAATGCTTAGAACAGCAGCTGCCTTGCAGGTCAGTTGAAGGGATTGGAAATTGTGTGTGTGAAGTTCCCAGCAGAAACGCATCTCAGCCTGATGCTCGGCACGTGAGCATCACCCAAAGCAGGCAGGACTGTGTGCCAGGAGCAGCTGGGTGGGGACAGCCAGGGATCCTGGGGTGTGTCCTGCAGTCCTCTGGGTCTATACGTGGGAGGAGAGAGGCCTGCTGTGTCCAGGGCTCTGACCCTCCACATGGCTGTTGGTACTCTCCCGGCCCCTGCAGTCCCTGAGCCTGATCGAGCGCGGGAACCCCTCACGCAGCCTGGAGCAGGTGTGTCGCTGGGCACACTCCCAGCAGCGCCAGGACCCTGGCCATGCTGAGCACCATGACCATGTTGTCTTCCTCACCCGGCAGGACTTTGGGCCCTCAGGTATGCAAGGTACTGTATTTGCCATGGCCAGGTGTGTGCAGCGTGCAGGGCAGACAGAGGCTGGGCCTGGAGGCAGATGGGCTCTCCCTGGGGCCCACCACAGGGAGGTTGAAGGGACAGGACCTGGACAGCTGGGGTCCAGCTTTGGAATGGTTTATTGTGGACCATGGGAAGTAGAGGGGTCCCTACTCTGGTCCCCAGTATCTTGGTGGAGACTGCAGGCAGCTGTGAGTGGTCAGGCCCTGGGTCCTGTGCTTAATGTCCCAGAGCCTGGCTGCTGGAAGACCCTCCATGAGCTTCAAGATGCTTCTCCCCACACTGTGTCCTTCTGGCCTTGTTGCAGACTGTGGGACACCTAGGATGGGGCTTATGTGGGCTGCAGAACAGGAAGTCTGTGTTCTGCCTCCAGCTCCACACCTTGCTAGCCCAGTGGTCCAAGATCTCTTCATCTCCCTGGGTTCTCCCAACTGTGGAAAGGGGAGCATAACAATATTTGCCTTCCCCTATTCCAGGGCTGCTAAAAGGGCCCCAGGGTACATGTTTTGACAGAGTGTTGACAATTGTAAGTGCTCTGCAAACGTACAGCTTGGATATCATATGGGGAAACTGAGGCATGGAGTGGCGAAGAGACTTGCCCACGTGGTTTAGCAGGCGGGAGTCAGATCTGAGAGGAAAACTGGATCTCCAGGTTCCATGTTGCAGCCTTTCTATTTTTTTCTGCTTTAATGCTGGAAATTAGTTGGCCAGCCCTGCCTACCCAGAAGATTTCTTGTCTGAATAACTAAAGCCCCAAATGTGGTTTTACACCACACACACACACACACACACACACACACACAAAGTACAGACACGCACACATGTGCAGGCCCATGTACACACAGACACATGCACATATGCAAATAGACATAAGCCAGTGTGTACATGTACAGATATACAAACACACACATGCACACAGACACACAGAGACACTACATACATGTAGAGACACAGAGACACATGCACACACATGCGCAGGCACTCACATAGACACAGGCATGCACACACATGTATATACACACACAGAGCATGTACTTGTATCACATGTAGAGCAAATCTCAGACTTCTAGGTCAATACAGGCTCCAGAAACCTCTTTCCCACTCAGCCTCTTGTTATACTCCCCAAACCATCTCAAATAAAAGAACATTTCAGTCCCTCTAACATGGAGGAATAGATCTGTTAGGGGGACTGCAGGCCTAGGCAGGGACGCGCCCTTTGTCATCATCCCCACCTTGGAGGCCCCTAGGACACAGGCCTCATGCATGGTAATGCTTGGCCAGTGCTGGCCCCCTGTACTGCCATGATTCCTGTGTGACCTGCCTGCACCTTGGCCTGTGTCCTCCCCACCTCTGAAGGGTTGTCTCAGCTGTCCTCCACTTCCCGCATCAATCATTCCTGATCCCCCTCAACTCCTTCCAAACCATTCCCTTTCCCCCTCCTCCAACTCCCCCTGCACCCTGGCTTGCTCCTCGAATTCTAGCCCTTCCATCCCATGCCTCATCACGTAATCTTCTGCTAAATCACGGTTCTTTAGCTGTGGCAGTGGGTGGGTGGGTGAGTGGGTGGGGGGACAGGTTGCAGGGTCAGGGGTAGGCTTGGATCTGAGTCCCCTGTTTTCCCCATGGTACCTAACATAATGCTGCCCATGACTCTTGCATAGAAAGCGTTCGGAGCTTGTTTGCTGACTGACTGTGGGACTGGAGGGAGGCGTGGTGGAAGTGGTGTGCAGGCCGGGGTGTTCTCTGGTTTAGAGAGGCGCTGATAAACCCTGGGAAGCTGCAGGCCAAGAGGGAAGCCGTCAAGCTCTGGGATATGAGGGCGGCTTGGCCCAGGTTTGTTCAGCTGCAGGTGGGACTTTGTGAGCATCCTTCTTCCTCCAGGACGTCCGCTGCCAAGCACTGACCAGATGGCTGGGCTGGGCACAGACCTCAGCGTGTCCTGCCTCACCTGCCTTCCACCTCGCTCTCCACCTTCTCTTTCTCTCCTCGGCAGGGTATGCACCCGTCACTGGCATGTGTCACCCCCTGAGGAGCTGTGCCCTCAACCACGAGGATGGGTTCTCCTCAGCCTTCGTGGTAGCTCATGAGACCGGCCACGTGTAAGTGGCACCAGCAGGGTGGGTGGGACTGGCAGCTGTGCCATGAGCTCCAGGGAGTTCTTTGGCTGTGGGGGACTTTGCCCAGCTTGGCCTAGTCCCCGTGTCCTGGGAGGTGTCAGAGGAGCTGGCCTGCCCCTGAGGCATGGCCTCCTGCAGCTGCCAGTAGAAGGAGGCCCTGACCTGAATTGGGAGGAGCCAAGGGGCCTGGGTAGCAATTTGGGCTTGCCTTGGGCCCAACCTCCAAATCCCAAGGCTATAGGTGCCCAGAGGTGGCCCTGCCTTTGGGTGGGCCAGTGGCAGTGTCCCCCTCACACGCAGAGGCCTGCTGTCTCTGCGTGTGAGGGGGATCTTGATCTTTGGCTTCCTTCCATCACATCCACATTTGAGGCCTTTCTAAGACTCATTCCAGCCCACCCTAGTACTCAGCACTCATTGGAGCGCTGGCCTGAGCACATTGTAAACAGGTGCACTTTGAACTTAGGTGGTGAGCCAGGCAGAGGCTGGCCTGCCTGATCTTAGGGCTTCAGATTTTGTTTAGAGTGTGTTCATTCATTCAGTATTTCTTGAGCACATACCATGCACCAGGCCCCATTCTAGGAATGAGGCTACAGTGGGGACCAGGACAGAGAAGCCCTCAAGAGGCTACATGCCGGGTGGACACAGATGAGCTACTGTTCAGTACGTCATGCCTCCTGGCCTTGGGTATGCACAGGGGCAGAACCAAGGGACATCATCAGCCTTGTCAGATTGTATCCCAGCGCTGCTCCTCCAGGCATGTGGGACCTCCTCTCCATGCCTGCAACATGGAGCTGACACCAGGGGAAACTCTGAGGCCCCTCTCTGTGGAGACACAAGGTCAAGCTTATAGCCCCATGTATCTGCCTAGCAGTCAAAGCCAGATGCAGCCATCTGGGAGGGTTTGAGAACTTAGAATTGTTAGGATTTGGCATTAATGACTAACTGTGAAGAGCAAACTTTTAAATTTAAACTATTATTATGGTATGTGCCTATCATGTGCAAAGCTCTGTGCCCAGCCTTGCAGGGTCTTAGAGAGGCTTAAGAGGCAGGTACCTGCCACAAGGGGCTCAGGAAACGAGGTTGAGTTGAGTTGAATGAAACCTGGTCTTTGCAATCAAAGGCACTCGGTGGGAAGTCAGCAAATGGCTGTGAGGTTTTTAATGGTGGGATAGGTGGCTCCTGCTGTGGAGGTCAGCCTCCATGGGTGGGACAGCTAGGACCAGTGGCCAGGTGGGGCTTGATCGGGCCTTGGAAGCTGCAAGAACATGGGTGGAGCTCACGGAAGGGGTGGGTGTCTGGGAGTGGTGAACAGCAGGAGCGAAGGCTTGGAGGGCTGAATGAGCCTGATCCTAGTGGGAGCAGACTTGGAGAGAGGGCTGGTCGTCTGACTGCATGGTTGGGAAACTGGGGCCAGGAAGAGCAATCTGAACTCTGAGTCAGGACAGGGTCTCTCACTGCTGGCCTGCCTGCCTGCCTTCCCAGGGGCAGGCCCACTGGGGTGTCTCAGGACTTCTCTTTCTTCCCCATTCCAGGCTCGGCATGGAGCATGACGGTCAGGGGAATGGCTGCGCAGATGAGACCAGCCTGGGCAGTGTCATGGCGCCCCTGGTGCAGGCTGCCTTCCACCGCTTTCATTGGTCCCGCTGCAGCAAGCTGGAGCTCAGCCGCTACCTCCCGTAGGTCATTCTTGCCCCCAGAGCTGGGATAGGGAGTGTGCGGTCTGCCACTCTGAGCAGACCTCACACAGCTGGCTGTCTTCCCCAAGTCTTCCCTGGCTTCGCTATTCTGTGACGCATCTCACCTCCCCACCGAACCCGGCCTAAAACGTACCCCAGTAGCATCACAGCCTAGTGTTTCAGAATGTGTTCAGGTGACCACTTACATAGAATTCTCATTATACATGCAGACCCCCTGGCTCACGGAAGATGGTAAGTTAGATTCTGCTGAGGTTGGGTCTAGGAATCTGGATTTATCAAGCATTGCAGGTAATATTTGCACATGCTGAAGGTTAGGAGCCACTGGGCTGAGGCCAGGGCTCTAAACCCAGGGGCTTCTAACAACCCCTTTGAGGCCACCTGGTCCCTGCCCCCAGAGCTACCCAAGGTCGACTTCCCAGTGGATGAACAGTGCCACTGTGACCTTCTCCTGGACCCTAGGGAAATAAGCATGCTCAGGAGGGAGCTCCCTCCTCTCCTCACTCCCATTCTTGGCCCCAGCAGCAAGGCCTGGCTGGTCAGCTCCTGGGTCTTCAGGGATCTTCAGGTACAGAACAAGTGTTAGACTCAGGAGCGCAAGGCCTGAGAATGGGAGGCCAAGTGGATCTGGATGGGGGGGCAGGTGGAGGCAGAGATATAGTCACTAGTGCCATGCAGGAGCCGGGCAGGGCAGCTCACCCAGGGTCCATCCTGCAGGGTAGGCTCGTTTTTCTTCTTTCAGTATAGAGTGAGTCCTCAAATTGTCCATGAATCAATCATTAGTCTTGGCCATAACATGTCCCTCTAAGGTGGGCAAAACTGACCTAATTCAGCTGCAAGCTGAGTATCTAATCCCAGTCTGGGTACCCTTGCCTTTGGCTGCAAATGGAGCCCTTCCAGACACAGTCACCGGTGGGAGCGAGGTCCTCAGTGAGGGAGATGCTCAGGGCAGCCCCTCCCCCATGAAGAGGCAGTGCTGGGCACAGGAAAGCGGGTGCAGATTCCTGCAGACCTTGCTCACAGAAACCCCGGCTCCTGGGAAGGGAAAGCCTGGGACTTCCTGCTGTCGGCCTGTCTCACCTTCCTTGTCTCCGCCGGCAGCTCCTATGACTGCCTCCTCGATGACCCCTTTGATCCTGCCTGGCCCCAGCCCCCAGAGCTGCCTGGGATCGACTACTCAATGGATGAGCAGTGCCGCTTTGACTTCGGCAGTGGATACCAGACCTGCTTGGCAGTGAGTACCCATCTGGCCTCTGCCAGGTGGTGGGTGCCAGGGCAGTGTCCTTCTGTGGCCCAGGCTGGACATTCATGAAGCACCTCCTGCCCAGCTGGCCAGTGGGCCTGGTGATGGGCCAACAGACGCAGTGCTAGCCACCATGCAGGGATGCAGAGTGAACACCTGTGGGGGCAGGTGTGCGCAGTGGCTGGGGAATGCATTAGCCCTGGGGAAGATGGGAAAGCAGAGCAGAGAGGGTGGGTACCTGACGGGAGCCTGGCTGGGCTCCTTCCCTGGGGAGCTTATCTGCAAAGGATCCCAGGTTTCAGATGTGAACCCAGACCTCCCAGAGCCTCAAACCCTAGTCCCAGTTCAGTGACAAATGGCCTCTGTAAAGTGGGGCAGGGAGGCCTTGGAGAGAGGACAGTGAGAAGAGGACAGTGAAAGAGCCATGGCTGGGATCTTTCTCAGTGCCCTGGAGAAACAAGGGGTCCCCTGGAGGCTGCTGGCACTTGGGGTCAAGTAGAACTTGAAGCAGGAGAGAGGCTTTGGCTGCCTGCCCTGCAGTGCCTTGGGTGCCTGCACCCATCACACCCTCTTTTCTCTCCATTACTGACCTTTGTTCCTTGGACAAAGAGCCAGTCCGGCCCGGTGACCCACGTCCCTTGCCATGCAGTTCAGGACCTTTGAGCCCTGCAAGCAGCTATGGTGCAGCCACCCTGACAACCCCTACTTCTGCAAGACCAAGAAGGGGCCCCCACTGGATGGGACCGAGTGTGCACCTGGCAAGGTACCTGTGGGGTGTGCAGCAAGAGTGGCCTTCCTGGAGTGCAGGGCATCCATCACTGGCATGGGGGCACATCCCAGGGGGAACCCTGAACCCTGGCCCCTTTCTCCAAGTGCTTATATGAGTGGGGCGGTGGTGCTAAAGGACAGGGTGAGCCCAGTGTGCAGGTGAATACACATGGCATCTTCCCATAAACTCACACCCTTTCTTCTCTCCCAGACCACAGCACTTTGTCTCTGTAATTAGCTGAGGGTAGCATGCTCTCCTAGCCGATCTGACAGGAAGGCTTACTTCCATTTTACAGATGAGAAGACTGAGGCCCAGGCAGGTTAATTAAGGAACTTGTTGGAGTCTCACTGGGAGTGATTAGTACAGAAGGGATGCGGGGAAGGCTCTGTGTGTCCTGCCTACTCCCCCACACCCAAGCTGTCTCTGTTGAGCAAGAGACACACGTGTTCTTCCCCATACCAACCTTCATGAATGTCCCGTGTTTGCTCCCTCATGCATGTGTGGGTGCCAGGGCTTCGTTTGCCTGGGGGACCCTGTGGCTAGGTCTGAAACCCAGCTCTGCTCTGTTGCCAGCACTGCCCCTGATCACTGTGGTGACCTTGGGCCATTCATTGAACTTTTCTGACCACCAACACCTGACCAATGTCAGGGTTGTTCTGAGGTTACTGACTCATGTCAAGGCATGTGAGGGAGCAGGGAAGAAGCCAGGTGCTAAGAGAGGAGCTTCCTCAGCAGTAGCAGGAGCCCTGCCACAGCAGCCACCCCACCAGCCTGCCCCCTGCCTCCTGCCCCTAGCCAGGCTTCTTTTTTTTTTTTTTTTTTTTGAAACAGAGTCTCAGTCTGTTGCCCAGGCTGAAGTGCAGTGGCAAGATCTTGGCTCACTGCAACCTCCACCTCCCGTGTTCAAGTGATTCTCCTGCCTCAGCCTCCCGAGTAGCCAGGATTACAGGCATGCACCACCATGCCCAGCTAATTTTTGTATTTTTAGTAAACACGGGGTTTCACTTTGTTGGCCAGGGTGGTCTCAAACTCCTGACCTCATGATCCGCCTGCCTCAGCCTCCCAAAGTGCTGGGATTACAGGTGTGAGCCACCGCGCCCAGCCGCCAGGCTCCTCCTATTCATACCTGTCCTGCTGAGCAGCTCTGGGGCTTGTCCCATCACAGGTGGATGGAGCTTCCCATGGCCTGGCAGGTCCTTGATGGGTTAGAGCTGTTTCGGGTCTTTCCACTTCTTCAGTTTTCCCAGGTGTTTTCAACGTTCCAGACCCTCCCCAGTCACAATTTCACGAGACAGTTCATCAGTAGTTCTCAATCTGCATATTGGAATGGGCTGCATATTGGAATCATCCTGGGAGCTTTAAAACCCCTTCCAAAGAACAAGGAGTGACTGCAGATGGGCATAGAGGATATTTTTGGGGTGATAAAAATATTCTCAAATTGGATTTGGTGACGATTGGATAACTGCAAATTTATGAAAAATCATTGCAATGTACACTTGAAATGAGTGAATTCTATAGTATGTAAATTATGCCTCATTATACTTCCTCCAGAAGTTCCTGCCCCTAGCGATTCTGACTCAGTTGTTCTAGGGTGAAGATCGGGCATCTGAAGTTGTAAAATCTCCCCCAGGTGATTCCAAAGTTGAAAACCCTTGGGAGACTAACTTTGCCCAGAGAGCTTTGCACACTTTTTTCATGCCACCCTACAGGAAAAGGGCAGGGAGTTGCCTCTAGTTGAGCCTTTCCTTATTGCCTGGCCCTGTGTTATGGCCTGTAGATATGGTAGAGCAGTCCCACTTAACAGGTGGCTAAACTGAGGCTCAGCAAGCTAAAGTAGCTGCACATAGCTAGTACTGCTGAGCTGGAATTCAAACCCAGGAATCTCTGACTTCATGCAAACACTCTTTCCACTGCACGGACCTCCCCACATGGCTGGCCTGCCTCCCAGAAGCACATCGCATGATCCCTGGAAGGTGCTTTTGAGATACAGAGCCAAGGTCAACTCTAGCTAGCGGGCGAAGATTGTCTTCTCTCCCCTTTCAGCCCTTTATTACTCCCGAGTGTGCAAATAATTGCCCATTGATTATCATTGTTCATCATAAGATCTGCCATTTCTGGCTTTGTGTACTGGGCATGATCTCATTGGATGCTATGAGCAGGTGCAGCTTCCCGTGTTGTCCAGTTGAGGAACAGGCCCAGAAAGGCAAGCCCTTTGTCTAAGGCTGCTCAGCTCATGCTGGGGGTGGGACTCTGCCTAAACCCAGGCTCATGCTCTTGCCATCCCTTTCTCTGTCTCTCCCGTGGTACCCACCATCTGAGCCATGTGCCCAGTTGGGCACCCTCCAGGGTGGGCTCAGCAGCAGCAGCTCAGGGTGACCTCACACCCTTTGCTCCGCCCCAGTGGTGCTTCAAAGGTCACTGCATCTGGAAGTCCCCGGAGCAGACATACGGCCAAGATGGAGGCTGGAGCTCCTGGACCAAGTTTGGGTCGTGTTCGCGGTCATGTGGGGGCGGGGTGCGATCCCGCAGCCGGAGCTGCAACAACCCCCCGTGAGTGTGCTTGGCTGGGGTGGGCAGGGCAGGAAGCCCCTCCTCAGAGCTGAGAGGCTTGGAGCGGAAGTCACTGGGAAGACAGTGCAGGAGAGAAGGGCCCTGTGGGGGGTTGTGTGTGCTAACGCATGAGGACACAGAATTGTTGGTGGAGGCAGATCACTACCTGCATCCACTAAGGACCCTCAGATCTGCCTTCTGTGCATTTGTCGGAACCAGTGGTTCTCAAGCTCATGTGCAGAAGAGTCCCCAGAGTCTGGGTGGCCCTACTTCTTCATGCGTGTAACAAACCCTCTCATAATCCTGACCCTCTGGCTAAACTTTGAGAAACACTGATCTAAGCTCTTTGTTGGGAGAATCAATTCCCTGACTTTGTTTTCTACTACATGGAGAAAACCTCCCTTTAATTTTTCTTAACTTACCTCTTTCTAACATCAAAGCTCCTTCCCCTCTTCCCACTCCCAAGTTTTAGCATTCTGGGGGAGATCTCCATTTTCCCTGCTCATCCCCTCTATGGGGATCTTCCCCACCGCTCCATCTCCATCTCCAAGCTGAAGCAGCCTGTTTAGAACAGCATCATGAGAGATGAGGACTGGCCAAGGCCAGCTGCATGGGTTGGTTGGCTCTAGTGATGCAGGGGTTCTGAACCCCCACAATGATGGGGCCTGGCCTGACCCCCTCACAGGGCTGAGGGGTATGATGAAGACTGAGGAATCACAGAGTTGTAGGGTCACAGTGGCTCTGGTGTCCTCAGGAGTGGTAATTCATACTGTTATTTATCTCTAGGCATGGGAAACTCACTGCCTATGGAAGCAACTGTTCCTTTGTTTTAGACAATATAGCCATATAGTTAACACAGACGGCTATATTGACCTTCTATACACATAAGCCAAAGTGGACTGCCTTGTAACTTTCATCTGCTGGGAATACAAAGACTGGTTGTAGAAAAGCCCAGGGATCCCTGTTCTGAGTAAATCACCTTGCAGGCATGACTGACAATTACCCCTTGCTATAATTGGTATCAAGGCTACCATTTATTGAGCTCCTCTGTAATAACTATTTTTATTTTATGAGACTTAAATAAAATGTGTGCTCTCAGCAGCCTGCTCACACAAATTAAATACTTAATAAAAGACAGCTGTTGTTATTATTATAGTGTGTCAGGCACTTTGTGCTAGGTGGCATGCTAAGCACTTACAAAAAGCTATGCAATTCTCCCGCATGTCTATGAGTAGGGTACTATTAACCCCAGCACTTGGACGCTTTGTGTCAAGTCTTACCCAGTTGTCTTGACTTAATGGAGAAGAAAGCATAGATGACTATAAAATACCTTTTCTCACTATTCTTCACAGACACACCAGGAGGTGTATAAAATAAGAGGGATTATAGTCCCTGTTTTCAAGGGGAAATTAAGCCACAGCAAGGCTAAGTGGCTTCGCCAAGATTGCACGGTCAGGACTTAGAAGCCAGCTCTTGTGATTCCAAATCCAAGTTTCTTTTACCACTCCTTAGTTTATAATGATGTTAAGTGGAAGTGGATGCAGATGGGAGTGGCTGAGTCATTTATGGGGACCTGCTCTATGCCAGGGCCTGCGAAACAGTTGAAGGCACCCACGTAGATGAATAAGAGGGAGTTCCCTTTCAGCCCAGCTAGAGAGGGTTAGTCAGTCCCTGTGTCAGTGTGTACATCTGTCTGTCTCACACTCACCGTGGAATAGATGGTGTGTGTCTGAAGGGTAGAGTGGTCTGGGAGGAAGAGGGTTCTGGAAGGCTGAGCTCCATAGCCCCATACCCTGGGAACTATTCTCTGGTTTATGGCAGTAGAACCCCTTGCCATGCTGTTGTGAATGGCTGAGCTGCTCCTGGTGGCTATGTGGGAAGCCTGACCCTCACAACCTTCCCAGCCATCAAGGTCACCCATCTCTCTGTGCCTGTCCCAGCCCAGCCTATGGAGGCCGCCCGTGCTTAGGGCCCATGTTCGAGTACCAGGTCTGCAACAGCGAGGAGTGCCCTGGGCCCTACGAGGACTTCCGGGCCCAGCAGTGTGCCAAGCGCAACTCCTACTATGTGCACCAGAACGCCAAGCACCGCTGGATGCCCTACGAGCCTGAGGACGGTGAGCGGGCCCCGCTCCCCCTCCCACCCCATGTCCTTGGGCATCTGCTGGGGTTGTGTGTGCCCAGGCAGGGCCTCCCACCCCCACACTCTCCAGTGAAGGTGGAGGGACCATGGGGGTGCCAAAAGGGACACTGCAGTCAGCAGGCTCACCACATGCCCTTGTGCAGGTCTGCGTATTGCATACTTCCGGGGTCATCATCCCCATCAAGGCCATCCCTGATTTGTGTGTACTTATGATGACAGTTTTCTGGCAGATGCAAGGAAAGTGTCTTGAGGAAGGGACACTTCACACACAGGTGTTGCCATGGCCGGCAGCAGCGTTGGCTGTTAGGGTTGCCTCCCTTTCCGTCTTCTGTCCTTACCTGTCGGGAAAAGAATCAGACAGGTGCAGGCACACTTCCCGTCACGTGGCCAGTGTCCTGAGGCGCTCAGTCCTATTACGTGCTGTGTTTTTAGGTTTTACTGATTGGGCTGTGGTTTCAGCAGAGTCACTGAAATGATATTAGAAGGCAGGCAGATGGGAGCTGGTGGGATCTTCATATTGACTCTCTAGGCTGCCCTGGGACAGACACAGGCTTCTAGACTCATGTAAAGAGTCTGAATTTCGGGACCATGGTGCCAGTTCCCATCTGTTTTTGAGCGTTTCCAGTGATGGCTTCATAGCAGCAGAGCATCCAGTGAAGGGTTAGGATTCGTGGCAAGTCAGAGCCTTGGTGGAAGAGCCCTCAATGGTCCTCTGATTCCAGCTTTCCCTTGCCAGCTTCTCCATGGGTCCTCCATGGACTGATGCTCATTCTCTATCACACAACCCTAGGCCCAGACAGCTCCCATCAGGACAGGCTTTCCTCCCAGGACCATCAGCTCTTCAGCTCTGGTCTAGAATGACAGACACTTCAGGTTGGAAGGGACCTCAGGCCTGTCATGGCCAGATTCCTCCCGAACATCCCCACAGGGAGTGTATTCTCTCTGCTTGGATTCCTCCCATTCTGGGGAGCTCACCACTCCCTTGGCACTGTTGGCTGGCTTCTGTTGCTACCCAGGAAGCTGCCTGCCCTGGTCAGGATCCTGCCTGTCCTGGGTTGGAGCCCCCCCTAGACCCAGGTCCCTCCAAGAATCTGCTTCCTGCGCATGAAATTCAAAGTGTTCTTGGAGGTTGTGGCTCTGGACTTGAGCCTCCATGCTGGAGACAAGGAGTCACCAGCTGTCCTGGAAGCACAGGAACCAGTGCAGTGCCAAGCAGGTTCCTTAGTCATTGGCCGAGGGAAGCTTGCTTTGAAAGCCTTCCAGATCTGTTCAGAAACCAAACCAGCAACCACAGCACTGGGGAGGGGAGGGGCTGGGAGGCTCGTGGGGCAGCTGGGCTTTGGGCTTTTTCGAGGACTGTTAGACGAATCCCAGGAAGTTAGCTAAGCCCCCAACCTCCTTTTTTCTAAGAAGCACAGCGAGTGTTTATATGTTCTCTGGAACCTCCTTTTTAGGATATCTATAGCCCACATAAAGAAGGAAGCACTTAATTAAGACCAGAAAGGGCTCTCTTTCTCCCTGACTGTTCCTCCATTTTGCAAACCCAGATACCACTTTTCTGCCTTATTTTCACACAGCCTTCTAATGTTTACAAACATGCTAAGACACATGTCATACATGTGCACAGTGAAGTTTTATAGGGGTCAGAGCAGGACTCTAGCCAGACTGCTTAGGTTAGAACCCAGGCTGAACCACTTACCATGTGGCTCTGTGGACTTAAGCAAGTTTCTTAACCTCCCTGTTCCTCAGTTTCCTCCTCTGTAATGCTAGCACCTGTCTCACAAATGAGTTAATTCACAAAAAGCCATTAAAGCTGTATTTTAAGGGCATGTGAAGGTTTTAGAACTATCTAGAACATAGTAAGCATTCACTAAGTGTTGGCTTATTACTTCATCATTTGATTTCTCTCAATAAGCTGAGGTGCATTTTACTGATTAGGAATAATAAAGATAGGCAACAGAGACTGGGAGAGGTCGGAGCATCTGCCCAAGGTCACATGGCTAATAAGTGACACAGCATGGATTTTCAGCCCCAGCACCACACCCAGTGCTCCCCCGACTGCCTAGCTGGCCCCAGAGCTTTCTGGCTGGACCACACGCCGATCTGTCCTGGGCCATTTTCTCTGAACCCAGCTGGGGGCTCAGCCTGGTCCCTCTCCCTACAGATGCCCAGAAGTGTGAGCTGATCTGCCAGTCGGCGGACACAGGGGATGTGGTGTTCATGAACCAAGTGGTTCACGATGGGACACGCTGCAGCTACCGGGACCTGTACAGCGTCTGTGCACGTGGCGAGTGTGTGGTGGGTGCATCCCGGGCCACCCCGACTGCTGGCACAGGGAGACTGGAGGGCTGCACTGCAGCCCCTCCTGCCTGGGACGATGAGCATTGCCTCGCCGGCCCACTCCCAACACCGTTTGGTCCTCAGCTTAGCCCTGGGGTGCTGGAAGGGGCTCAGCCCTGTTGGAGGGGGGAGGAGATTGCCAGAATCCCCACCATGCCGGGTTTAAGACCTCACTCAGGTCACACGGTGAATTTGTGCCAGAATCCTGTCCAGGGACACCTCTCAGGCCAGGGGTCCTCTCCTGACCAGAGCCTGGGGATGGGAACGGGAGCCCCATGGAGCCCAGGGTGGCAGTAGGGGCAGGGGAGCCTCCTCCTACTGACTTCATCTCTGGTCTCAGCCTGTTGGCTGTGACAAGGAGGTGGGGTCTATGAAGGCAGATGACAAGTGTGGAGTCTGCGGGGGTGACAACTCCCACTGCAGGACTGTGAAGGGGACGCTGGGCAAGGCCTCCAAGCAAGCAGGTGAGCCGGGCTGGGGCTTGGGGGATGATGAGGGCTGACTGGAGATCTGGCTGCTCCTCAGGGGCACCCTCCCTCCTTGAACTGTGCCATAGTTTGGGGTGGGGAGAAGGGGCCCCGGGGCCCATCTCCCTGGGCTGCCCAGGCTGGTGAGCCATGCGCTGCAGCCAGTCACCACATTTTCCAGGCAAGCTCCTCCCTGAATTTGGGGCCCAGGAGCTCCAGGAGGCATTCTCCTACTGGGCAATGTGCTATGATGGGAGCTTGGCCATCCCTTAGACCCAGGGCTACTGGTGGGAGGGAGGCATCAGACAGATCTAAAGGTGTGGCCAAGACTGGACTGATAACCTTCTTTTCCTCTCTCCTTTCTCATTTTTTTCTTTAAACCTACAGCACTTTCTGCTTTGAATTACTGGTATCTTTGAGTTTCTTGACTTTCCTCTCTACCTCCAATCTGACCAAACTTGCTGTGCAAAAGGACCAGATATCAGTCCTTCACACTTTAGTATAAATGGGGCCTATTTCCTTTTGGGAGATGTTACAGCTTTGCCTCACCTTTGATTGTTGTGGGGAAGGTTGGTGGCTCTGAGAAAGCCTTGTTTCCAGGCCTTGGATAGGGAGGGCCATGGGGGCTCAGGATAGTCATGTGGAGTCTTCATGGCCTTTATCATTTAAATCCCATCAGTAGCAAGTAGTTTAAGGTGTGAGAAGAAACAGAGAGAGAGTCAGAGGAGCAAAAAGTGTGGGGAAGGGCAGAAGTGAGAGGGAGAGGAAGAGGGTCAAGAAAGAGGGAAGTAATAGCAGCTCTCACATACACACAGGCCCTTACAGGACACGTCTCGTTCGACCCTCCCGGCACCCTCATAGAGAAGGCGTCATCCTCAGTTTACAAATGAGGATATAGAGGTTCTGAGAGCTTCTGTGATCAAATGAGATGTTCCTGGTACCCAGTGGGAGAGTGGGGCTTGCTGGGCAGTGGGACCACCAGCTTAGAATGCTCACAACTTCTGGACCCTCCTGTGTGGCAGGAGCTGCCAAACTGGTGCAGATCCCGGCAGGTGCCAGGCACATCCAGATTGAGGCACTGGAGAAGTCCCCCCACCGCATTGGTGAGTGCTGGGGTGCTGGGAGGGGACAGTGGGGCCCCAGGCCTGCCCTCTGATTTGAGGGAACTGGGAGAGCAGAGGGCAAAATTCTAGTTCAAGCGGAATTATACTAACTTGAATAATGGGCAGAGACTCCCTGTTCATTTTATTTTTAAATTTATGCTGCATGGGTAACCCATTCCATGATTTACATTTCAGAAGGTCTAAAAGGGGACCTAGTAAAAAAGTCTCCTTCCTACCCCACTACCCTGGGGGCAGTTTTCTTCCCTAGGGGCAACTACTGTTAATAATTTCTTGTACACATAGAAGGCTGTTAAAGGAAAACCATTTTCACATAGTATATCAGTCAGCTTTTGCTGCCTAACACACTACTCCAAAACTTAGTGGCTTCAAACAATAATTGCTTCTTAGCTCACAGTTCTGTGGGTCATCACTTTGGGCTGGGCTCTGTGGGGTGGTTCTTCTGTGAGTCTGCCTGGAACGACTCATGCAGATGTCCTCAGCTGGTAGGTCTCCGGGAGCTGGTTGGTCTAGGATGGCCTCACTCACATTTCTGGTGGTTGGAACTGGCTGTTAGCTGGGGTCTTGAAGGTGCCAGGGCCATGTCCTCACCAGGTTGACCCAGTATTATTCACATTATGTCTGTCACCTGGTCCTCAGGAACAGCTTGTGTCATGTTTTCTAATGTCCCATTAGTCCAAGTCACATGGCCAAGCTCAGATTTAAGAGGCAGAAAAATAGATTAGCTTTTGATGGTAGAAGTGGTGAAGTTACAGTGCAAAGGGGCATGCATAGAGGAATAGGAGGAAGGTAGAGTCATTCTGCAGTCTTCTGCACAGGCTCTTACATTATTCTCATTATAATACAGCTAGTGCTCGACTTACGACCACGATTGTTTCCGACAGACTGGTTGTAACATGATTTGGTCATAAGTTGAGTAGGCTATATGCACGTGGAGATGGTAGTGCTGCCAGAAGCTGGTCTGCACTATCGTACGCCCAGCTGGGCAACGTTTGCGCTGCCAGACGCGGAGCAGTCGTGGCTAGCGATTGTGGTCGTAAAGTCGAATGGTCGTAAGTTGCATAGACCGTAAGTCGATCAATACCTGTAATACTTAAACACCAAGCCGCTAAATGAGGTGACACCCTTATGCTTGTACCAGTTTTCCAACTATGAAGCGAGGCTGGATTAAAAATGAGAACACCACAATAACAAATTAAGGACATTAATATAATGTGAGAGATGTTTTGTTTTGTTGTAGGCTGTCAAAAAATGGACACTTCCAGAGAGGGAAATCTATAGAGAGAATAGATTAGTGACAGCCAGGGGCTGGGGAAGGAAAGAGGCATGATGGCTAATGGGTATCAGGTTTCTTTTTGGGGTGATGAAAATGTTCTGGAATCAGACAGTGGTAATGGTTGAATCTACTTAAAAATTAGGCCGGGTGCAGTGGCTCATACCAGTAATCCCAACACTTTGGGAGGCCAAGGCAGGCGGATATCACTTGAGCTTAGAAGTTTGAGATCAGCCTGCGGAACACGGCGGAACCCCATCTCTACAACAAAATACAAAGTTTAGCTAGGTGTGGTGGCGCATGCCTATAGTCCTAAGCTACTTGATGGGGCAGGAGTGTCTCAAAAAAAAAAAAATCACTGAATTGTACATCTTAATTGAGTGAGTTGTATGGCATGTGAATTATATCTCAGTTCAAACCCCATGAGCCTAGTTCAGAGCAGGGTCCCAGTAGCAGGTAAGCAGCAGTCTGCCTCTCCCACACTGGGCAGTGACATCTGTGTTCAGACCCTATTGCAGTGGACATGCGGGCCACAATGTCCCTTCGAAATGTCACAGAGGCCCCTCTTCCCTATTACATCTGCCAAGTCACACTGCTTGGCACCAATTTCATCATAAATGGAAGTACAAAACACGTATGTCTTCGCAGGCTCGCATCACACACAAATGCTGCCATTCATATTTTTAGATTATCAGCAAAATAGTAATTTGTAAATATCTTCAAAGTTTCCTGGATAACTTGCACTTTTTGGAGAACACATCTGCATTGGCACCTCCCCTTAGCACAGCTGCAGGGGATTCCTAAGCTTCTATTCTTGAAGGTACCTGAAAGGGCATTGTCCCAACAGGCAATTGGCACAAGGGGAAACTGAGGCCCAAAGTAGATTGAGGGGCTCTGTATGCCCTGATTGATCCAAGAGGGGTGTGAGCAGAGCCAGTCTTGGCCCAGGTCTCCTGCCTCCGAGCCCTGTTCCCTTGCCAGCCATGCCACTCTACCACAATAGTACCCCCTGTGCGTCACTACTTACAACCACAGCGAGCCCAGGTTAGAGGACTTTGGTTCAGGCAAGTCCAGCCCACTGTGTCTGCCTGGCTGTGGGGAATGTGCTGGAATTAGGGGCTTGGGGAGGGAAGGGACAAGGAGAGAAAGGGCATCTATTCCAAGAAGAGGTGGAGCTCACTGGTAGTACATTCCCTGGGGATGATTTCAGAATATTTGCAGGCCCTGGGATGCCTCAGCCAGCCCCTTTCAGCCTCTGCTATCTCCAAAAATCTAGTTCTTTGATCCCCACTAGTCTTCTGCAGAGGTCACGGCAGCAGCTGCTAGCACCTGGGGTAGGCCAAGCGCAAGCTTGCTTGCCTGTTTACCAGGTGAGTTCCCTGATGGGTTAGACTTTTCCTGGGAGCCCGGTTGGGAGAGTGAAGCAGGGGCAGCCCAGGAGCTGAACTCTGAAATTGGCACAGGTTGTGTGATTATACAGGTGTGAGGTGCACAGTGGCCTTCAATGAAAACATGTGGATATATGAGTGTGTGTGCATGTGTGTGCATCTGTGTGCATGCCCGTGTAGGGGTGTGTGTTCCCAACAGGACATGTAGAGGCCTAGGACAGGTAGTAGCCCTGGCAATGAAGGCAGAGGCTCTGCCCATTGTCATTAGACTCTCCTGGAATTGGGGACATAGACTCTCTAAAAGGAAGTGTAGGGAAGAGAAGGAGAACTCATGCTGTTAATATCTCCCATGTGCTGGGCCATGAGCTGCCACTTTTCATGCATTATCTCAGTTTAGTGAGCCTCATGGCCATCTAGGAATATTGTTATCCTGTTTTGCAGTTGAAGGAAACTGAGGCTCAGAGAGAGGCTGGGTACAGAGCAGGTCAGTTGTGGATCCTGGATTTGGGACTGGGTCTGGACAGTGGAGAGTTTATGATGGTCCACCCACCATTGTCTGAAATGAAGGGTGCATAGTCAGGGCTCCGCTACAATGAGGTGCAGGAGTGGTCAAGGGCAATGGGAGGATTGGAGGCTGCCTGTGGCCTGAGGAGCTGCCCAGCACTAGCCTAGACTGTCCGGAGCCACCGGGGATCAGGGAGTCTGAGGGTGAGGCCTGGAGGCAGGAGGCGAGGGGCATCTCTCCAGTAACCTCCCAGGAAGGGATGAGGCTCCTCATTTTCTGCTTCCCTTCCCTACCCCCCACCCCACCCCCACACTGCTGCTGTCTCTCTGGATGCCTGGGCTCTGGCCCAGCCCCCACTGTGTATCCAGGACACTGTGCATCTGGGAGCCGCTGATTCCTCGCTTGTATTAACAACAGCCAAGCCCTTAGGATGTCTTTAGGGATGAAACTGAAGCAGTTGGCAGAGTGACTGGCACATGGTTAGTGTTCTCAGATCCTTAGCTCTTACATGACAGTTACGACCATTTAAATCTATTCCAGATGGGAGCTCTGTGGGCCCCTCCTCCTGGACATCCCAGGGCTCTGGAGCCTTTGCCCTCCCCACTTGGCTAAGGGGCTTGGGTCTCAGGCTGCTGGGTCCTAGGAAGTCCAGAGTGGCCAAAGGTACCACTCAGGGCCCTTGGCCAGGTGTCAGACCTCCATATCTCCTACCCACCTGCCTCCCAGGGTCTTTGGGTAACAAGTTGTGAGTTACTCACCAACTGGAACATTAAGGGGTAGGCAGTTGTGGATTTTTTAAATCTCTGCCTCTGTGCCAGGCCCTGTGCTGGGCCAAGAACACCAAGATGGAGATGAGCCAACAGGCTTCTGGGAGAGGCATGGCATCTGCAATCACAGTAGTGCCAGAAGTCCGACACTTTTCTGGTGGTCTAGCAATAGTGCCCCTGCGCGTCACTACTTACAAGCTGGTTATGTTTATGAACTCTCCTCGTTGTTCTGAGAGCCTCAGTCGTGGGGGGCGGGCATTGCCATTATCCTCCTGGGGCGGCAGCAGCCCTGTGAGCTGGGCACAATTATCATTCCCATTCTCGTGATGGCGAAACTGAGGCAGCACAGGGAGGGTTGAGTAGTTTCCCCATCATCAATCTGACTCCAGAACCATACTTTTAACCTCTACACTCTGCTATAGAAATTCTTGGGAGGGCAGATTCCCTGAGGACTGGGTAACCAAAGAAGGCTCCCTGGAGGAGAGGGGATTATGCTGAGCCTCAACTATGGGTAGAGATTAGACAGGAAGAAAGGAAGGCAGTAAGGGTGGGAGGAATGGTATGCACTATGATCCAGAGACAGCGACAATAGTGTGTGTGTGTCTGGGGTGGGGGGTGGCAGGGAGTGTCTTGACCTGTCTGACTTGGGAGGGCTTGGGTGGGGAAGAAAGACAGGTGGACAGGAGCCAAGATGGCTCACTGGAAAGCCTTGAATATCACAATAATGGCCCACCCCCGTGAAGGGGAGTAGAAATCTGTGTGACCCTCTCCCCGCACCGGCCAGTGGTGAAGAACCAGGTCACCGGCAGCTTCATCCTCAACCCCAAGGACAAGGAAGCCACAAGCCGGACCTTCACTGCCATGGGCCTGGAGTGGGAGAATGCAGTGGAAGACGCCAAGGAAAGCCTCAAGACCAGTGGGCCCCTGCCTGAAGCCATCGCCGTCCTGGTGAGCCCCACTGTGCATGGTGGCAGCCCCTGCCCATCCCCCTTGTCCCCTTAGCTTACTATGTCTTCTGCCAAGCCAGCATGACACCATTCTGGTGTCTTTAGGAGCCTGGGTGAGGGCAAGGCACCCTCCATCCTGGGGTCAGCTCCTCATCTGTGCTTAAAAGCTGGCAGGATGGCAAGTGAGGATGAATAAAGAGAGTTGTCTCCTCACTGTCAGACCCCAGATACCACATGCAGGGAGCCTGCTCTTTTTAAGGCGGTCTTGGAAATGGAAACTGGAGGGAGGTTGGGTAGGGCTGGGTCATCCTGGCATAGTCCCACATCTGTGTGCATCATAGGATGGCTGGCAAATGAGTCCAGGAGTAGCTTCCTTGGGCCTTTAAGGCAGTTGAACCAGGGGCTCCAGCCTCTTGAAAAGGGGACAAGGCTGCTGTCCTGACTGGGACCCATCTCTGCCCATACCCTACTTCCTAGAGCATGGACCAGGGCTTGTGGAGCAGGGATTAACCCAGCAGACCAGACCATGAGGAGCTCTGTCCATGGTGCCCTCAGCACTGGCTGGTGGCAAGGATACCTTGAATGAGCTTTGTTCCTGGTGTTACCCTCACCAACTGGTGGGCTCCTGGAGGACAGGCTCTGTGGCCTATTGGTGTCAGCATATCAATTCAATCCAACACATATTTTTGACTCACTTTATATTTGTTGACCACCCATATATCTATGGCCAGCTGATTTTCATCAAGTGTACCAAGGGCATTCAATGGGGAAAGAATAGTCTCTTCAAAATATGGTGCCAGGACACCTGGATATCTACATGCAAAAGAATGAAGTTCGACCCCTTCCTCACACCATACACAAATGTTAATTCAAAATAGATCAAAGACCTAGATATAAGAACTTAAACCATACAACTCTTAGAAAAGGACAGAGAAGAAAATCTTTATGATCTTGGATTCTTAGATATGACAGGCACTAAAAGCATATACAGCAAAAGAAAAAATAGATAAATTGGACTTCATCAAGATTGAAAACTTTAGTGCATCAAAAGACATTATTAAGAAAAGGAAAAGACCACCTGCAGAATGGGGGAAAATACTTACAAGTCATCTATTTGATGAAGGTCTAGTGTCCAGAGCATTCTTATTAACTCCCTTCTAGAGCCAGGCAGTGTGGTTGCTGCAATGAGCAGAACAGATAGATCGACAGACAGGTGGCCCTATCCTCCCATCATAACTTATATCTGTGAAAGGGAAGAGCGTTCATAGGTGCACTGGCTGCTCTTGGGCCTGGTACACGCAGGTGTCCGGTCTGAGTTTGTCCCATGGTGGCTGGTCTGAATCCAGCCTCCCACTGCACCCCAGCCACGCTTGGCATGACCTCATCCTAGCTTTCACAGATTCTGCTCTGACCCTAAGGCCTTTTTTTCGGCCTCTCCCTCCCAGTGCATGCCAGCCTTGCTTGCTTCTCTGGTCCTGTGCCAGTCCCCATCTCCCCTCAGGTGCTCCCCCCAGCTGAGGGTGGCCCCCGCAGCAGCCTGGCCTACAAGTACGTCATCCATGAGGACCTGCTGCCCCTCATCGGGAGCAACAATGTGCTCCTGGAGGAGACGGACACCTATGAGTGGGCGCTCAAGAGCTGGGCCCCCTGCAGCAAGGCCTGTGGAGGAGGTACCGGTTCCCCAACCTGCCGGTGCCTTGTTGGGGCAGCCTAGGGTCTCTTGAGAGGCAGGGGTGGGGGGCTGACATTGTCTCCATTTGATGTGTCCCTGATTATGACTCAGTTTCTCCTTGAAGATCTCCAGTGCGTGGAAGCTTGTTTTGGGCAGGGCCTTTGGGATGGGGCTGGGGGTGCTAGAGCAGTATCTGGGCAGAGCCTCTGCCCTAAAAGGGCTCACCCACTGTGAGGACAGATAGCTGCCCAAAGCCAACTTCTCACCAGTTAGGTGGAAGGCGTCCCTCAGAAAGTGACATGGGCAGGCGGGGGGCATAGGCACAGAGGGAGGTGGGATTGGCTCGCAAGGCTCCATGGGTACTGCCCTTGAGGCCCCAGCAGAGCAATGGAGGGCCTGGCGAGACCAGACCTATGGCAGCCTTCCTACCCCACAGGGATCCAGTTCACCAAATACGGCTGCCGGCGCAGACGGGACCACCACATGGTGCAGCGGCACCTGTGTGACCACAAGAAGAGACCCAAGCCCATCCGCCGGCGCTGCAACCGGCACCTGTGCTCCCAGCCTGCGTGAGTGCTCCCAGCCTGTGTGAGTGCTCCCAGGAAAGGACAGGGAGTCTGGTTCTATGCCAAGCCTGGGACCCAGGCAGCATGGCTGCTGAGCCTGCTCCCCTCAGCACTGGGTTATGGAGACCCGACCATATAGGCCACACTGGTTTCAGTGCTTCTGGGCTCCAGGTCCAGGCCAGGATGCTGACTTCTACTTCTCGGCCCGATTGTCCGGAGTCCAGGGACACGGCTCAGCCTGCCAGCCCCCAGCCATGATCCAGCCCCTAATTGGGATTTCCTGGCTTGAGTCTACATGCTCTTCTGAGCACAAGGATGACCTTGGGATTATTTGGGGAAGAACCTTTGGGGTGAGGAGAGAGCTGTGCCTGCTGGAGGACTCATGGCCAGGCCTCTGAACCTGTTGCAGAGCCAGCCCCAAGACCTCCTCAACCTCTACCGGGCTTCCCTAGGACACCCCAGGCAGACCAAGGCCGAGAGCGGCTGGCTGGTAGAAATCCACAGAGGGCTTCGTCCATCTTCCTGCTTCCCCAAGAGTCCTACCTGCTAGGGGTAGGGTGCTGCCTGGGCCTCATCAGCTTGGGCTGGGGAAACCCCAGGGAAACCTGATATGATCAGAGGCCAGGGTGGGAACTGACGGCCAGCACTGGAGGCTGCTGTGGCCTCCCTGTCTGTGCCCAGGTCAGGCCATGATACCCAGTCCCTCCTCTGCCCAAGACGGCTTCATAACCAGCCCTCTGTACTTCTCCTTTGCTCATTCCTTTGTACTGTTATTCAGACTGCTTTTCCCAAAAATGCCTGTGGTCACAGAGCATGCAGGGTTAGCTCTGCCTGGGCTCTGCCTGGCAGGGGTCCCCCAACCCCAACCCCTTTGGGGTTTTAAGGAAGAGGTTGACTTGGGAAGCCTGCCTGGAAGTGGCCTGGTTTGCTAAAAGAGGAGGAGTAGGGGTTGGGGCTCTCCCTCCCTCCATCCCCACCAGAGCAGTTTTGTTTCCTCTAGTGCACCCAGTGGCCCTGTGCTTAAGGTGCTGTTGGAAGTTGCTCTGTGGATAAAAGACACTTGCAGGCCACCAGCATAGCTACTCGGTGCTGAAGCTCTGTGGGTGATGATGGTGACAGTAACAGTGCTCTTGTCCTAGGAGCCCCTGGGAGGTTGGGGGATCTACCATGAAAGCGTGGCTTTGATCTGTTTTGTGCTCTGATGTTTCTCAGCACCCAGGACAGAGCCCGCACCAGTAGGCATTCCACTGCGTATGAGGCTTTGAAGTGACCGTGATGTAGAGATGGGGTAACTGAGGCCTGAGGCTTAGAGGGCTAATAGCTTGCCCAAGAACACGCAGGGTGCTAGAATTTAAATACGCATCATACCTGTTTTTCAGACGAGACAGAGCAGGAGGGAAGAGTGCCCTCCCCGAGGTCACATAGCCAGGGAGCTGCAGAGCCAAGTGGACAGTTGTTCTAGGCCTCAAACATTCTGAAGTCCAAACTCTCTCTCTGGCTCCTGCCTGCAGCTGTCTGGGGATGGGAAGTGTCCCCTGGGATGACATGTCCTCTTGGTCTCACCTCCTTTCCTCTCACCCTGTTTCCAGGTGGGTGACAGAGGAGTGGGGCACCTGCAGCCGGAGCTGTGGGAAGCTGGGGCTGCAGACCCGGGGGGTACAGTGCCTGTTGCCCCTCTCCAATGGAACCCACAAGGTCATGCCGGCCAAAGCCTGCCCCGAGGACCGGCCTGAGGCCCGAAGGCCCTGTCTCCGTGTGCCCTGCCCAGCCCAGTGGCGGCTGGGAGCCTGGTCCCAGGTGACTTGCCCTCAGGAGGTGGGAGGGGCTTGGGGAGGAGGTGGGTCTGAGAGATTTTTGGTGCTCCCTGCAGGCAAGAGAGTTTCTGGCTGAATTGCTCCTCCTACATGGAATCTAATTTTTCTTAAAGTGGAATAGCTCCCGTGTACCCTGGGCAGTGAGTCTGTGCTAGGCCTTTATGTTCATTCATTATCACCAGTAAGCTTCATACAGTGCCAGAAGGCATGGGTTCATGTCCCTGTGCTCCAGATGAGCAGACTGAAGTACACTCTTGCATTCCAGAAATATTTGCTGAGCACTAGCTAAGTGGCAGACCTTGTACTAAGAATGTGGGAACCCAGCATCAACCAGACAGAGCTGATTCTTGCCCTTGTGCAGCCCACAGTCCTGTGAGGGAGACGTGTTAGACCATCAACCCACGGCTAAGCACTGATAGACTGCAGTCGGAGCTGGGTGTGGAGTAGCGGGGCAATGTGGTGGAGGATGGAGGTGGTCAGGCAGCTTCCCGGAGAAGGTGTTGCTCCAGCTGAGACCTGAGGGACAAGCCACAGGAAGAGACCAAAGCAGGAACAATCTTACAGAGTTCCAGAAACCAAAAGGACAGTGGGGCTGGGAGGGATAGGGGCTGTGAGATAACACTGGGGAGGCAGGTGGTGATGAGGGGGTTAGGGGGTCCATGCTACAGGGCTTTGCAACAAGTTTGCATTTATTCTGAGAGCAGTGGGAACCCAGGGCAATACGAGCTCTAATTTCAGGTTGTAAAGATCACTCTGGCTGTGCTGTGGGAGGCTGACTGTTAGGAGGTCAGGGTAGCAAAAGGGAAAAGTAAGGCTGCTTGGTTATGTGGTGCTCTGTGGCTTAGACCCTGGAAGTTGCCTCGGGGAAATTGCCTCAAGGAAATTGTCTTGGATTTCCTTTTTTTTTTTTTTTTTTTTGGAGACGGAGTTTCGCTCTTGTTACCCAGGCTGGAGTGCAATGGCGCGATCTTGGCTCACCGCAACCTCCGCCTCCTGGGTTCAAGCAATTCTCCTGCCTCAGCCTCCTGTGTAGCTGGGATCACAGGCACGCGCCACCATGGCAAGCTAATTTTTTGTAGTTTTAGTAGAGACGGGGTTTCACCATGTTGACCAGGATGGTCTCGATCTCCTGACCTCGTGATCCACCCGCCTCGGCCTCCCAAAGTGCTGGGATTACAGGCTTGAGCCACCGCGCCCGGCTTGGATTTCCTTTTAAATCCTCATTTGATGTGAACATTGGGAATATCACCAAGTGAAACAAGCCAACGTGGATGCAGTGACTCATGCCTGTAATCCCAACACCTTGGGAAGCGGAGGCGGGCAGATCTTTGGGAGGTTGATGTGGGTGGATTGCTTGAGCCCAGGAGTTCGAGACCAGCCTAGGCGACATGGCAAGACCTTGTCTCTATAAAAAATTTAAGTTAGTCGGGTGTGGTGGTGTATGCTTGTAGTCCCAACTGCTCTGGAGGCTAAGGTAGGAAGATTGCTTGAGCCCAGGAGGTCAAGGCTGCAGTGAGCTATGACCATGCCACTGTACTCCAGCCTGGGTGACAGAGCAAGATCTTGTCTCAAAAGAAAAAGAAAATCCAGACATGTAAGGACAAACACTGTATGAGGGCACTTTGCCAGTGATTTTCAGGGGCTGGGGGAGGGAGAATGGGGAGTTAGTGTTTAATAGGCATGGAGTTTCAGTTGGGAAAGAGGAAAATGCCTGGAGACAGATGGTGGTAATGATTGTACAACAATGTGAATGTGCTTAATGCCACTGAACCGTACACTTAAAAATAGTTAAGATGGGCTGGGTGCAGTGGCTTACCCTTGCAATCCTGGCATTTTGGGGGGCCAAGGTGGGCGGATTGCCTGGGGTCAGGAGTTCAAGACCAGCTTGACCAGCATGGTATAACGCCATCTCCAATAAAAATGCAAAAATTAGTTGAGCGTGGTGGCATATGCCTGTAATCCCAGCTACCTGGAGGCTGAGGCAGAAGAATCGATTAAACCTGGGAGGCAGAGGTTGCAGTGAGCCAAGATCATGCCATTGCACTCCAGCCCAGGTGACAAGAGCAAAACTCATCTCAAAAAAAAAAAAAAAAATTTAAGATGGCAAACTTTATGTTATGTAGGTATTACCTCAAAGTAAAAAGCCTCATTTGATCACAGTGATGTTTATTGTAATAGCAAAACTTTAGGACATATCCTAAATGTGTATCTACAGAAGACTGGACAAAAATCATGATCTGTCCATATAATACAGTACTATACAACGAGAAAAATGAATAAGCCTGAACTGTACTCACCAAAATGGATAAGCCTCTATTAATAGAGAATACATTTAGGCAAGAAAGAGCACTTTGGTATGAAGTACAAAAGCACTTCCAATGGATGCCATTTACTTAATGTTTAGAGTAGCAGGATATCATCACATCATTCGACCTGCCCCAGGGCACACCATGTAGTGGATTGCAACAGGGGAGTTTGCTAGAGCACAATGCAATTTGAAAATATGCTGAGATGCTCTTTTATTAAAGCTGGTGGTGGCATCTGGATAGCGGTTTGTGAATAACTCCATATATTTCTGTATGCTTGAAATATTGCATTATGGGTATTTGTAAAGAACCAGAAATCCACACACAACCCATACATTTTATCTGACTGCATAATATATAGCTTCATTTATTTTGACATAAAATAGAAAGATTGCTGGTCTTCAAAGGACCGCATAGATAAAAGTAACAGAGAGATGGCAGACAGTGGAAGATACTGGCCCTGTTGCAATAAGAAGCATATAGAGATGAATCTCTAAATTTAACTTTTATTTGGGAAGTAAGAATTGCAATTCAAGGCATACACAGAGACGACGTAGTCTTCAGTATGTCCAAAGAACAAAGGAAAGGTTGGGGATTTTATTAGAAAGAGACATGGTATGTATTGTGTTGAACACAAACTCATTGGCACTAGGCGAGCTTGTGGGAGCTGGCCTGCCCTGGCAGTGAGTGATGGTGTAGGTAAAACTAGCCCTGGAGTCACAGCAGGTTGTTTCAGCAGCTGCTAGATAAAACTGGGCTTGGAATTACATCAGCCTGTTTCAGCAGCCGGTCTTGTGGAAAATTTGATTCTTGGAGCAGGTGCTAGGTGCCCTGAGTGCTTTTCCCCCCGGTCCCTCAACTCTGATTTAGCTGGGTGTGACAAGAATGACCCTACTCATACAATCAACTTTCACAGGCCCTTGTGAGACTGAGTGAGTGGTCAGGAGCTGTTGGCTGCTGTTTATAATGATTCAACCTGGGAGGATGAGCCGTTAGTCTCATAGTTCTGTGGGGCCCCGTGACCCTTGTGTCTCAGTGGTCACATGCTCCAGGGTGGGAGGTGGGGTCCTGCAAGTTCCTCTCCTTTCAGCTAGTTAAGGCTGTGGTCAGTGCCTAAAAATGACCCAGTCACAATGGGCAACACTGCTTCCCTGGAGTCCCTGCCCCTCCATTGAGGACCTCCACACGCCCTGTTTGCCAGAGTAAGAGTAGGTCAGGTCCAGGGGACAATGTATGTGGCCACCCCCTGCAAACAGTGGTCCTCTGCTTGCCTTCTGCTCCTTGTACCCACACCCTGCCCTCTCAGAGAAGAAGACACTTTTGAACATACTTCTGCAGGCCCATGTTTGGTAAATTAAGTCACAAGATAATTGACTATCAGAGCTAGTCAGAGAAGGGTCCATGGAGACCCTGTCACCCAGCTCTGTCAGTTTACAGAGTTAGACACTGAGCCAGGGTGGGGGTGGGGATAGCAGATTCGGGAATCCAGGCCCCTGCATCCTGTTAACAGGATATCATCATATCAATCCACCTGCCTCCAGATTACATGTAGTGGATTACAACATGGGAGTTTGCTAGAGTGATACACAAAATATTGAAGAGTCCAGGCACAGACCAGACACAGTGCATGCAGATGGTAGTAGGGAATGGGGTCCCAGAGGTTTCCTCCTGAGCCAGAGACTAACCGTTTAGATCATGGAGAGGCCCATGGGGTTCTAGGCTCAGGGCAATGGCTCTTTACCATTGGTATCAGGACTATCGGACAACAGGTGCGGTGTCCCACTGAGGCTACTTAGAAGCAGTCCTTGCATGTCCCTCTGGTCAAGTGAAGACTTGGCCCTCTCCTTTGTACCCTTTCTGTCCTGGACATTGGCGGCTCTAAGCTCACTGGCTTGTCTTCCTTCTCTCTGTCTACCCTGACCCCGGCTGCTGTGGCCTGGCGCTGACCCACCCATGGCAGTGCTCTGCCACCTGCGGAGAAGGCATCCAGCAGCGGCAGGTGGTGTGCAGGACCAATGCCAACAGCCTCGGGCAGTGCGAGGGGGATAGGCCAGACACCGTCCAGGTCTGCAGCCTGCCAGCCTGTGGAGGTGAGCTACAGGGGATGGGGAGGCCAGGTCTAGTCCTTGAGACCAAAGTCCTAAATACTAGAATCACTTTTCCCTGTTCGCAGGAAATCACCAGAACTCCACGGTGAGGGCTGACATCTGGGAACTTGGGATGCCAGAAGGGCAATTGGTGCCACCATCTGGACCCCTACATCCTGTTAACAAGATATCATCAAGTAAGTGCAGTCTGTGGACATTACCCCGCTCCCCAGACCTTTCAGTGGCTGGGGAAAGAACTGAATGAGAGAACGCAGGCACTCCTGTCTGGCTGTCAGCTTCCAGTAACAACAGGCATAGCAATTTTTCTCTGCCCCATGATCAGGAGCCTATCAGCTCATCCTGCCATCTTTCCATTCATCCACCCATGGATAAATATTTACTGAGCATCTGCTATGTGCCAGGCTGTGGATTCTGCACTCCTTTCCTAGGTTCCAGCTTTCTTTTCCTTCCTCACCCTCCCAAGGACCAGAGGCTGGCAAGATGAGTAGCAGAACAATCAAAGATCCCAACTCCTAGTTAGAGGACCGGTTGGCTGGTTGATCTTGCACAGATTCCTTAACCTCTCTGAGCCTAGTGACCTCATTCGTAAAATAAGGTTTCTGACTAGATATCCTCAAAGGACCTTCTACCTCCAAATTTTGCTACTTCTCTGCTCCTAGGCTGAGGTTCCAACTAGGGAGATCCCTGGGTTTCCTGCCCTTTTCCTTCACAAATCAAGGGATGAGGCCCTGATTTTGGTTCCAGAAATCTGGCGCCATCTAGAGGTCACTGGCTTGCCATTTTTCTCTGATCTTTCTCTTCCACTAAGCCAGCCCCTCCACCTGTGTCTCCTTCCCTCTGTCCCTCCCACTCTTCCCACCTCCCACTCTGTCTCTGCCTCGTCTGTCTTGCTCTCTCTCAGCAAAAATTAGTAGAAAGCAGAGCTCCTGCCTTCACATTCTGTCTGGAGAAACCTACATGGAGTTATCACAGAAAGGCCCAATATTTTGGGCAAAGCAAACGCGTGTAGTAGCACTTATCTTTGCCAGGCACTTTGAAGATGTTATTTGTAATTGCAATGTTATTATTCGTTGGTAAGTGTCAGCCTTAGCCCCATTTTATAGGTTAAGAAACCGAGGCTTGGAGGGTTTAAGTGACTTGTCAAAGACCTCACACTTTTAAGTGGTAGAGGCTGGGTTTGAACTGAAAACAGCTTGATTCCAAATTAAGCAGTGGCAGTCTTAATGTCCCGGATGTGTGCTGACTATGGCAGATGGTCAGTCTGCCTGGCCCAAGCATGAGCCGCCTGGGCTCTAGCTTGGCCCTGGCTGGAGTGAGTCAGACTCCTTGGGTTGATTGGGAGGGGTGAGGGTTCCTACTTCCATCCAGAGCAGCTAGCTGCAAGTTAGAGCCACCTGGCCGTGGGCCACACCCCAGACTGTCCAGTGTGTGGGTAGAGGAGACGGGCATCCCCAAGGATTCCAGTGTGTAGCTGGTGTGAGGACGAATGGCGAAGGACTGGGGTTCTCAGATGTGCCCACACATGGAGTCCCCTGGAGGGCTTGTGAAAGCACAGCACTGAGCCCCAGCCTGAGTTACTGATGCAGTAGGGCTGGGTGGTGCTGGAGAACGTGCTTTGCCAGCAAGCTTCCAGGTGATGCTGCTGCTGCCTGTGGGGACATCACTTCGATATCTGCCATTCTAGAGGATTTTAGTTCCTTCCATGTAGTGAGGGCTCACTCTCCTCTCGGGTGGCCCCATAGCCCGCTCTGGGAAAAAGCTTTACAGTGGGTCCAGCAGGGGTGGGGTGGAGAGCAGGCAGTCAGTGAGAGTGGGAGGAGGGGCCACCTGACTGACAGGCATCCCACGTTGCTTCCATCCTTGTGCTGTGCGTGCAGCAGAGCCCTGCACGGGGGACAGGTCCGTCTTCTGCCAGATGGAAGTGCTCGATCGCTATTGCTCCATTCCCAGCTACCACCAGCTATGCTGTGCGTCCTGCATCAAGAAGGCCTCAGGCCCCAACCCTAGCCCAGACCCTGGCTCGACTTCACTGCCCTCCTTCTCCACTCCTGAGAGCCCCTTACCAGGACCCAAGCCCCCTCCAGATGCTGTGGAGCCCTCTGGAAAGCCAATAGGATCCGAGGACCATCAGCATGGCCAAGCCACACCGCTCCCAGGAGCTCTGGACACAAGCTCTCCAGGGACCCAGCATCCCTTTACCCCAGAGAAACTGAGCCCTGGAGCATCCTGGAGCATCTCCGCTACCACCCCCGGGGCGCTGCCTTGGGGATGGACTCAGACACCTATGCCAGTCTCCGAAGATAAAGGGCAGCCTGGAGAAGGCCTGAAGTATCCGGGCACCAGCCTCCCTGCCGCCTCCCCAGTGACATGAGCTGCGCCCTGCCATCCCACCAGGCACATTTACACTCTGCGTGCTGCCCCACGACCCCCAGCTCAGAGGACACACACAGTGGGGCAGGCGCAAGCACAGACTTCATTTTAAACAATTCTCCTTCTTGTTCTCGTTTGGGGCTGTGATGCTCTTTACCCCACAAAGCGGCGTAGGAAGAAGGCAAAGATCAGGGAAAGCCCTAATCAGAGATACCTCAGCACGCTGCCCCCGGCGGCCGGTCTGACCCCCTCAGGGCTCCTGTGGGTCTCCCCTGCCGGGACCAGGGTCACCTATTGCCCCCTCCTCACAGACCCTGGGCCCAGGCAGGTCTGAACCCTGCTGGTCTGAAGCTGGAAGCTGGAAGCTATCAGGGCTGCCTGCCTTCCTGGAACTGTGAGGACCCCTGTGGAGGCCCTGCCTACTTGGCCCCTCTCCCCAGAAAGGCAGAGCAGGGCCAGGGGAGGTGGGGGGCTGTTCACAGCCAGGCCCAGAGGAAGGGGGCCTGGGAATGTGGTGTGAGGCCTCCCAGCTGCAGGGCCGGGGCGGGTGGGACCCGAGATGATCGCAGGCCCAGCTCCTGGAAGCTGAGAGCTTCATGCAGTTCTACCAGCCTAGGCCAGGCAGCAGAGGCCAGTTTGTCTTTGCTGGCCAGGGGATAGTGCTCATAGCCACACTCTGGCCCTGCAGATGTCACTTGTGTTACTTCAGGTGACTTCAGGTACAGACTGGCCTCCCAATCCCACCCTCAGCCCACCAGAGGAGGGGACTCAGGACACCATGGATCCCAAGTCCTCAGCATCCAGGGTTTTCCAAACTGGTGCTCAACCCCTGGCTTGACCAGGATGGCGACTTCAGTCATCACTCCCAACCTGGAAGGGGACTCTGTGGGACACAGAAGGGACGCCACTTCTCAGGCTGTCTCTTCAATCGTTGCCCTTCGCCAAAGATCACTCCTGCTAGAGTTGGGCGTCTTTGTCTCCCACGTGGCTCAAGCTGGGCCAGAGTCTGTGGTTCTCCCAGAGGTGGTCAGACCCCAGGGCTGAGGACCAGAGTCCACTCATAGCCTGGCCCTAGAGATGACAAGGGCCACCCAGGCTGAGTGCCCCAGGGCAGGGTGCCAGCCCCTGGTCTGGTGCTGGGGTGGGGAAGATACACTGACCATGGTGCTGTAAGGGCCTCAGCGTGTCCACGCTACCTCCAAGGGACAGATAACAGCCTTAGATACTCTGGCACTCAGGAAGTGGCTCGGGTTCCCAGGACACCTCCAGGGTCATGGAGGGTGTCTCCCAGACTCCTGCCAGGGAATAAAGGTGCTTCTCACTCCTTCCTTCCCAAGGCAAGGGGAAGTGGGCCCCTGGCCTGCAACCCCTTTGGAGGTAGAGGTCCTGGAGGGCCCCCCGGTGCTCCCTCCCCCTGCCACCCTCCTCTCCCTGCGATACTGGGGCACACATGGAGTCATTCCTGTGAGAACCAGCCTGGCCTGTCTTAAACTCTTGTGCCTTGGAAATTCAGATCTTTAAATTTTTGTGTATTTATTAACATTGCCTTTGGATCCCAAAAAGTTGTGTGTGTGTTTCTTTTTCTCTCTCTGTTTTGCGGGAAGGGGACATGGAAGCCAGAGCTCTAAGGCTGCAGGCTGGGCTGTAGCAAGAGAACTGGGGGTGGAGGGCGCAGCTGACTGCCCTGTCTCCTGTTTCTCGGCCTTTCCACCCACGCCCTACTGCGGCATGGCCAGGTGGCACACAGGGTGGCCACCGGTTTCGTGGCTACTGAATCTCCTGCTTCCCTGAGGCCCAAGTCGCAGGACAACACTTTATTTCAGATTAGTGCTTCAGGAGAAAAAAAATCTTTTGTGATTCAAATTTGATTAAATTCTCAGCCTGTTTAAATGCAACTAGAGGCCAATGGGGCAGGGGGGCTCATGCCCATAATCCCCGCACTTTTGGAGGTGGGAGTTCGAGACCAGCCTGAGCAACATAGCAAGACCCCATCTCAACAGAAAATAAAAAGAACATTAGCCAGGCATAGTATTGCACGCCTGTGGTCTCGGCTATTTAGGAGGCTGAAGTGAGAGGATCCCTTGAGCCCACGGGTTTGAGGCTACACTGAGCTATGATTGTGCCGTGGCACTGCAGCCTGGGTGACAGAGCGAGACCCTGTCTCAAAAACAAAAAAAAGAGCAACAAGAGGGGCTCACTTCAGCAACCACAGAACAAAGAGATCGTCATTGAAAGCAAAATGACTGCAACCACTTTTACCTTCTAAGCAGTGGTGGAATTTGTGTCACAGAGTAAAAGAATCTATACTGTTGGGCACTGAGAAAAGGTGAAGCTGGCAAAAGGTCCTCTTGTCCTTATGCAGACCTCACTCCTCCCCTTAAGGCCGAGGAGAAGATGGTTTGGAGAGCCCTGCCCCCATGGGAATGGGAGCACAGCGGAGAGGGCAGCCTCTCCACCTGTCTGTGGCTGGGGGCTTTTTAGGATACAGGTTGTCTCGTATATATCTAAGGTTCAATTAAATCTGTTTGTGTTGCCATCTCCCCAAACATCTGGAAATGTCCACCCCCTCCCCAAAATTAAGGGTTTCTTATGGGTCAGGATTTTTGCCTGTTTTGGTGGAAATTGAGAAACTGAAAGGATGCGTGGGTGAAGCTAGAGGAGCAGCCAAGAGAAGGAGCAGAGCAGAGCCCAGGAAAATGGGAGGCAGGGAATGGAGTCCTGACCTGCAAGCCTTTCCTCCAGCAGCCACCCCAGCTCCTCACACATAGACTCCAGGAAGCCACAGACACACAGCAAGGACACTGAACTCTGCAGATTCTAGCCACTGGCCTAAAGAAGCAGGAAACCCAAGCCGACATCTGGGTTTCAGTAAATAAACCACTTCCAATTTAACAACTTGGGTATGACGTGTCTGTTTCGGGTCCGTGGAAGTAAAGCCGGCCTGTGGATGTACCGCTGCGTTTCTCCCATGGAACCATAGCGTTTGTGGACTTGGAAGGAGCCTTAAAATTTGCTGGGCCCTCTACTTTACAGATGTGGAGACCGAGGCCAGGGAGGAAAGGACATTCCCAGGCTCACATGGTACAGATTATGTGCAAAGCAAGGAGGCTCCTTTTATTCGGGGCAGGCCTGACACCCAGAGTGAAAAAAGAGCCTAGAGTGGGGGGCGCCCAAGACACGCTGTGGAGCAGCAGGACGTCTCCTGGGCCTGCCAGCGATGGGTGGCTGAGGCTGCCCAGGCACTGCCAGGGTTACAATGCCCCGAGACGCAGGGGACATTACTCCCTGGAATGGTGTCCCTCCCTTTTACAAGGCAAACGGGATCATTTGTATTATTTTTCCAAGTGGCCCAGAGGACACATGACGAAAAAATGCATTTACTGCACCAGTACGTTTTCTGGCAGATGGACTTACGCTCTTTTGCATAACTTTCTTCCCATCCGAGGGAACCACAGCACCCCCCCACTGGAAGGATAGGCATTGATGGCTGCACAGGCATCAAACCTTAGGGTGATCTGCTTTGGGCTTCCCTTCTCCTCTGTTTTAGCTATTAGTTTAGTAGGGCTATTCCATTGCCCTATTAGGAGTCTAATTTCAAAAGTCGTATGTGTAGGGGGCTCTGATGGGTTGTAGCATACATCGGGTTGTCCATCCCCTGGATTACACACCTTATACTGAGTACTGTTATGTAAACTGGTTCCGTTTTGTGTCCCTGTGCACTCATAATAACTGTAGATCAAAAGAACGGCAGTAACTTTATGTCCTGCCTTAGTAACCTCATGTACACACTGAGAGCATTCTTCAAAATTAGTTAAGGTCCCTACTGTACACGTCCAAATATTAAGAAGAAGTCCCACGATGCCTTTCCTCATGCTTCGGCCGTACGTGGACTAGCCAGCTTCCGGGATGTGTCTGGAGCAGGGCTTGTTGTCCTTTTTAAGGTGATTTTGCAGTCGTTGTCTGGGTCTGGTCTAGCCTCCCAAGCTTCAGCTGCTGCCAGTTTGACACGGCTGCGGTGGATCCAGGCTGGGATTCCCTCTACCTTTACGGCTGTGGGAGTGGTCAGGATCACAGCCTGGGGTCCTTTCCACCGTGGCTTCAGAGGGACTGCATTCCAGTCCTTTATCCACACACAACTACCCGGTAAGAAAGGGTGAACTGGGGAGAATAAACTTACAGGGCATCTTTCATTTACCCAGGTTGAAATTTCCTGAGTGGTTTTCCCTAGAGCTTGTAGCTGTTTTTTCAGCTTAATTTTCCCCACTCCCGAGGAGTTCCCAGGAGTGCCTGCAGTATGGGAGGGGGCCTATAAGACTTCATGGGGGGATATCGGGAGGACATCTAACGTTGAGTAACACCAAGGGAAGTGCCTGCACCCACTTTAATTCTGTTTCCTGGCACATTTTCCCTAAGCTGTTTATCTGCTCCATCTTCTGCTTGGAGAAAGTCCTTCCCCTCCTGAATTTAACAGTCCTTCTCTTTGTACAGTGTCCCATGTACTTGAGGAGTGAAAAAGGCATACTGGGAATTAGTATAGAAGTTCACAGCCTTATCTTCACTCAGTTCTAGGGCCCGGGTCAGAGCAATAAATTCAGCCTTCTGAGCCCAAGTACCCTGAGGCAGTGGCACGGTCCCAGTCCCGGTGTCCAGGGTTACTGCTGCACAGCCTGCACAGCTTCCTCCTCGTGGATTAACAAAACTGCTTGTATCCACAGTCTACTACCGTCCGTGGTTGATCCCAAAGATTGGGCCTGCTGGAATAAACTGAGTCTAATACTTCAACACAGATGTGTTTAACCGGGCCTTCTGACACCGGGGGCAAATCGCCGGGTTTAAGGTGTTGCAGACCTCAATGGTGATGCGGGGATTTTCACAGAGCAGGCTCTGGTATTTGGTTAACCTGGCATTTGTCAACCAATGACGTCCTTTGGTATTCATTAGAGTTTCTACCGTGGGGGGGGGTTTGATATTTGAATTTTGCCCCAGAGCTAGCTTGTTAGCCTCTTGTGCTAGAAGAGCAGTTGTTGCTAGGGCCCTTAAACATGGGGCCATCCCATGGAAACTCCATTTAGCTGCTTGGAGAGATAAACTACAGGCCTGGGCCAAGGTCCCACTGTTTGTGTTAGAATTCCAACTGCCATTTTTTTTTTCTTTTTGACACCTACAGCGTGATTGTTAATCAGCGTGATTGTTAAATCAGGTAACCTCAAAGCTGGGGCTGACAAAAGTTTTGCTTTTAGTTTCTGATAGGCCTGGTACTGCTGAGATCCCCATTTAAAGCGTTCCTTGTCTCCCCACTTTGTCACTTTGTATAGGGATTTGGCCAGTACTGCAAAGTTTGGAATTCACAATCTACAGAAGCCCACGGCTCCCAGGAACTCTCTCACCTGCCTTCTAGTCTCAGGTTCCAGCAGGTTGCAAGTGACTTGTTTCCTGTCTACTCCTAGGCTGCTACACTCTCCCTGCTGGATGGTGAACCCCAGATATCGCACTTGCTGCCAGCAAATCTGGGCTGGTGTTTTTTAGACACTTTATACCCACAGTCCTCCAGGTGCTAAAGGCATCTGTTCCTTTAGCACACCTGACTGCTATGGGGTGTCCCAATAAAAGGTCATCAGCATAGTGGAGCAGCATTCAGCCTAAGTCCTTAGCAGGAAACTTCTGGAGGTCATGGGCTAGTGCCTCCCCAAAGATGGTGGGGGAGTTCTTGAACTCCTGGGGAAGCCGGGTCCAGGTGTACTAGGTGGTCACAGCTGTTTCTGGATTCTCCCATTGAAACGCAAATTGTTTCTGACTCTCCAGGGCCAGTCCAATGGTAAAGAAAGCACTCTTAAAGTCCGAGCAGGTGAGCCAACTATCCTCCACTGGTGATACTCCCCACAGCGTGCACAAGTTGGGTGCAGGTGGGTGCAAAGTCACTGTAGTCTGATTAACCAAACGCAAGTCCTGCACTGGCCTGTAGTCTTCAGTCCCTGGTTTAGTTAGGAAGAGTCTCCACCCCCCCTTCTAAGGGACTGTGAGAGCCATGATAATCCCTACCTGAGGCAGTTTCAGCTGCAGGGAGTCTTATCAGTGAAGGTGATAGTAGTAGCTCTTAGTTTGCTCAGCAAATCTCTCCCCAAGAGGGGTAGGGGCAGTCTGGCATGAACGAGAACTGATGTATAACCTATGGCCTCCCACCGCACAGGTCTGAGGCAAACAGAAAGACTGTTTCTCTGACACCCCAGTAGCTCCAACAATATTGGTTGTTTCCTTTGATAGGGGGGTTACAGGCCTGTCATCCTGACCATGGGCTCTTTGGGACAAATGAGCCTGGCCCCCTTCAGTCCAGTGGCCCTTCCGTTAGATTGAACAGAGCTCCTTCATTTTCATCTGAAGCCTCATGCTTAAGATCGCCCTGTTTTCCTGTCAACTGGGGGCACTTGTCCTTCCAGTGTTCCACTTCCCTACAGTAAGCACACTGGTCACGCTGCAGGCGTGGGTGATTAGACTGGTAGCTTTCCAGGAACCCCCTCCCCCGCTTCTGGGGGTGCTCCTCTAATAGCGGCAGCTATCAAGTCGG